AGACGAGAAATCCGTCTGTGGAATCGATGTATAGCATAGCCGTATAACAAGGGCGCTAATTTAGAAACGACTTTCAATAAGCCGCTGTCGAAGAAACCGGCCACGGTACCCATCATCTTTAATATAAATTATACGTAGTTAGTGGTAAGTGTTACAAGAGCGATCGAAGCTGCGGAAAAGGCTCTGGTTTAAAGTCAATCCATTGTTTGGTAACTGTTTCCATGATTGGAAACGAGTTTTCTGTTTAGACTATGTAATAGACAATAGTAAAGGAGGGGATAATTTTTTCGTAGGAATTTTAAGTCACTTATACGAACTGTTCATCAGTATGAGTCTAAGGATTTTTAGAGTTGCGAAAATCTTCATTATCATAAGGTCATTAGTCCTAAGACTGGTTGGATACGCACCTTCAGTCCTTACTACCTTGGGCTAATCTTCGCATTTCCCTAAAACTGGAACATCCCACAACCTTAACTGTTTACGAACTAATCTAGGTCTACCTTTACTTCTCTTAAATGATGTTTCTGCTTCTAATGTCTCTGACTAGCTCTTCATCCTGAGAAGGCCTCCTACCAACCTATCTCGCCTATTTTTTATTGAATTGCGGTGTATACTTATGTTAATATTTAGGTACCCTTGAAAAGCATTTTGGTTAGTTGTAATGTCTCAAATGGCTTGTTCGCTGTTTCAAACATTGGTGCTCACGACTCAGTTACTAAACGTTCTCCGATAACTTTCTTTGACAATTATTACCGACGTTGAGGAATAAAATAATTGGGCCGGAAGTGTTAGAATAAAAAAATGAATAAAATATGAAATAAACGTTGTGGTTAATGATGTCGGTGTAATAGAGGAAATTATGTGCGGTTTAGGTATAAGTTTTGACAGGCGGTAAAGTTGGGTCACCTGTTGTTGTTCTTTGACATGTGACCAGCGATTTCCGCCACATGGCTAAGTTGCATAAAATTGAGATAAATAATTTTTTAAATAAACAACACACTTATTACAGCACATTATATATTTAGCTCTTGCACAAACTTTAAATTTAAACATTAGAGAATAAAAGATACAAGGTTATTTTATATATTTGAGTCGTATATTTCAAAAGAGTATTAATGTAAAATAATTTAGATTTAAAGCTTTTAACAGTTGTGCTGGGTGGATATTGTAATCAGCCAGTGTAACAAATTAAAAATCGCGACTTTCAGTTGTTAGATAAATAATTTATAAACTGTGCATATTATACTGTAAAACGAAGGAAACTCCTAATGTTTTAATTTTACTTTCACGCCTAATAAAGTTAGATATTTCGTTGCCGCATTTTCCTTGAATGTTTTACCATAGTTGAAATTATAATCGCAAATTTATTCGGTTTTTATGCGTTAAGAAACACTTCTTAGCAGGTTTCATATTTCTTGAAATTTGCTGTAATTGTGACTTTTTATTAAGTGTGTTCTTTTTCCCAAAAATAAACATTCAGGTCATCTTTTACCTTTATTTTCTAATGAGAAAGTTAAATATACTGTTAAATAGCTATGTAGATGACACGCTGATGCTTATCTACAACACTAATTTTTGTAGAAAATGTAGATATATCTGCCCATATAAGACCTACCGGACCTCAATGTTACATTCGAATATGTGCCTGAGTTTATCCAGATATTTGGATATCTAGGTATTTAAAGTTGGATGTATAAATTTCAAACTATAGTTGAGACGTTAAAAATTGGCATAGTCCGCAATAAAAGTGTGGTATTTACTTTCTTTTTTTAACTAACTAACTAGACTAGAGCGGTTGCTGACAGAACGCCTACTTTGATTCACGACTAGGGTTGCCATCTCTAAAATTTGGAAACCAGGGCAAGACGCGTGAAAACCCCAGATTTTAGAGTCCAGAACCCGGACATGTCAACAGGTTTTTTTAAACATAGTCAGTGTAACAAAAAACAGTTGAAAATGTCATAAATCACCCTTTTATTTATTTTCAGACCTTAAAATTAGATTTAGTCATTCTTTATCATCATTTTCAATGTACCTAACAAAACAGAATCTTATAAAATAATTCGAAGTGGTCTGTATTCTTATTACTCTTATTACAATTTGTTACAAATTGTTTTAATAACCAGTTAGATTTCTTTTACGTGTGTGGCGGGCGGCCCAAGACTTTAAATTTTTAAACCAGGACTACAAATGAAGCCCCCCCCCCGGACGCTCCCCTGATGCCCTCTAAACTAGGACAAATCCGGGGAAACCCGGACGGATGGCAACCCTATTCACGACAGACGTTGTGGGGAATATAGTAAACATAGAAAAGAGATGCCAAATAAGAATTGCAGCGGACTCTAATAAAGAAAAAGGAATAACATTACACCAATTGATGTGTAACAGAAAGAGATGCAGACAAGCAGAAAATGAGCATGTTGCCAGCATCGGACTTTAAAGAAAGTTCAACAATTTCAGGAATTTGGGAAAGCGAAGACGCTTGTTTAAAGATATAATTCCAACCAGTCAGTTGTAAAGTCGACCCTGGTCTTTTGCGTATCTAAGTAACCTCTAACCGCTGCACCTCTTACCGTTATTCGGTTATCTCTTTTCACTTTGTTTATTCTATATCACTAATCTTAACTTATCAAGAGCGTGTTCAAAAGCAGCAAATTACTACTTTCCCAAGTGGAAACAAGAAAGAAGATACGTTCGTTCTCACAAGTAATTTATTGTGAACTACGACAATTTTTATGGTCTCAACCATACCTATCTATTTTTGAATTAAACTACATTTGAATGTATTGTGGTGCAATAAGAAAATTGACGTTGTGCGTTTTTCTATGAAACCATAAAGAACTATCTGGACAGGTTTAAGTACGTTGGTACGTACTTATTATTCCTATCGAATAGTTGGTCTTAATTTTATTCAATAGTAATCGGATCTGTTGTAATTACCAGTCGGTAGACAAAACCGGATTCCGGTATCTCCGCTAAAGCCGACCCCCCAATGCGGTATTGAGGGGTGGCAGCACGTATTCTCGGAGCCGCTTTTGACGACAAATTGCCCCTAGACAAACAAACAGAACAAAAGTCGGAATATACCGACGGAACCACACTTGGCCGCAAATGTACCTCGCGTCGGTGCCACTGCCACCGCCCCGTGTATCCTTGACCAGGTGCTAATTCCCCAAACAGTGTATGTCTGCGTGTTCTTCAGGTAGCGTAACTAATTGAAATTACAAATTTGTAGTCCCGATGGGAAAGGGGTTCGTGTAATATCTTGTGTACCATTCACGCTATCTACCTGTCTGGAAAACCGCCTCTTTTTAACATAAACGAAATTCTTCTGACAAATACCTACTACGGTATTTTAAAATCTGCGACATTTTAATGTTGAATTGTAATTCTTAAAAGTAAATGGGTCTATTTTGTAAACTATTACCTTTGAAGATTATAATTTATCGTCAAAACGTGAAAAAAAACAGAGTCTACTACTGGAGACTTCAATGAGCAATTAAGCGCGAAACCTTGTTAATGTTTGGACGATTTATTAACTGCTTTTTCTATCTATGTTTATTAAAAGTATTATTAAAGAATGCCCAGTTAAGGGTCTAATTACATTGCAGTTATATATTAAATCCTTTTTTATCTCTGAAGCTCTAAGCTTTATTGCAATTAAATATGGAATATAAAACACAACTAAAGTGCTAAAACAGAGAAACTTCAAAATAAAATTAGTAAAATACTTGCCTTATTGTAATGTAAAACAGTAATATTTTCCACTTTTTGTTCATTTTAGTTCTTTTTTAAAAACCAGAAATTTATTTTTTATTTTCTCAAATTTATTTGTTTCGGTAGTGTAATTTTTTCACTTATAGTATTTCTCCTTTTCCGTCTTGTTCTTCTTACTACTAATGTGAGATATATGTATTTTTGTTATACATATAATATAACCACTTTAGTTGTTAATAAAATCAAAAATAGATCTGATATCGAACATGATACAGAAATGTCTTAAAAAGCAGTATTTTGAAGTAAACGAGTGTAATAAAACGCTTGACGACCTCTTATCTTGATTAACTGCAGCAAGTTTTTTGAATTTGTTAAAATTAGGCAAAAGTTGAATCATAAAATGTTTCTTTGTATGCATAAAACTATTTTAAAATGGAACTTTTTTAAAAAAAAAATAAACTAAAACATGATATTTAAATTTACTTTATAGGATTAAAGTCAGAAACTACCTAATAAATAAACTTTTTTTTTGGTAATAATTAATAGTATGTTTGTGGTGGGTAATATTTTTTATAAATGCAGACCCGATTGTCTCAATTTTTTGGAAAACTGTTATAAATTGTTGAAAAATAGAAACGCATTCTTTGCTTTTCCGACTTCATACACTTAAGTTTTCTATTATGTAGTCTCATCAATAACTTCGTAGTTCATATCCAACTTCTCATCAATTTTATTAGTTCTTGTCCATTTAATTAATGATTAACGAGCTTTTCACAATCTCATTTTCTAACACTTTGATTAATTTAAACGGAGTTAATTATATCATTCATTACTTATATCACTAGAGGTGTGTTAGATTATTTCTATGCTATTAATTTTTCATAAATATTAAGTTGGATTAGTACATTCACAAAAATATTTATCAAATCCTCTAAATGTGGTCTCTTTTTCTATTGTTTTGTGTTCTGTAAATTTATAAATGAAACAGGTAACTAAAGGTTCGACTTTTTTATTCATTATTGGACAATAAATATGCGATTGAAGCGTACAAAATTATAAAAATGCTATTTACAGTGTTTCTCCTTTTTACAAAAAATATTAAAGCATACATAGCTTTGCAAGTTTTTATTTACAAACGAGAATTTTCATTTCGATATTCACACGTATTAGAGAGAGAGAGAGCTGCGACGACTCACATTCACACGTTTTTAATAAACACATTCTATCACAAATTAAGAAAAAATGCAGATTGCACCTAAGTTACAGTCTCATTTCAATTATCACAATTTCTTTTTTTTTTTCTATAACAAACAAACAGACGCTAAATATGTATTGAAACAGTCCTCGTGGTTCCACCTCCTGGTGGATTCGGTGGTTGTCCGCGAACGTTGTGCCGATGAACGTGGTGGTGAACGTGAGGGTTGCGCACCGAACCGCGCCGCCTCTGATTAGGAACGTCTGGAAGCGCGAACTTTAGCTTTTCCCAAAACATTTTGTCGCCCCACTGCAAGTAAACGTTAGTCTTTAAGTACAACCGGATATCCGGATCGAGGTCCTTTTGGGGCAAATCTCCCAAAAGGATTACGATAAGTCTTTTTCGCCTGTCCTTCAAAACTTGGTGGTGCGCGGACTTAAATTCGAACCTGCACCACTCGGACTTGATGAAATTTTCGGACAGGATCATGATCGTCCTTTTGGACGATTCGACGGCCTGGACTATCGTGTCAGCGAGGTATGCACCCACGGGGAAGTCGCGATAGTGCAGGCAAAGTTTGTAGTTCGGTTCGAGGGTAGGCGCCAGGACCTCGGCGATCCACGCCTCGTCTTTCGAACTGTAACTCACGAAGGCGTCAAACAATTTATCGCGATCGTTTAGATCGAGGTCGGACGGACGATAAAACAGCCGGACACCGAACTTGGAATGAACCCACACACGCACTTCCTGTCGAAATATAAAGATCAGTAACGTTAACGTTACAATTATCACAAACACGCCCAGCGTTACGACCAAAAGCGGAATATAATCTTGAATAGGCTGAGGCATTATTATGGTTTTCGTTGCGGTCGCGTTGCCTTCCACACTGTTGTCCATCGCCGCGTTACCCGAACATACACTGCTACCGTTTTCGGCCATTAAAAAGAAACCGTGAACATTATTATCACTGTCACTAGACAAGTCCTGTTCGTTGCTCGAAACGTTATGTACACAACGCACTCTTGAGGAATCTGTTACCGAATCACCGCGTACAATCCAATCTCTCAACCTTTCCACAAAACCACAATCGCAAGTCCACGGATTATGCGATAATGTTAAATCCGTTATGGATTTCGGAAACAGCCACACGTTCAACTGCAGTAATCTGTTGTGATTCAACTTTAACACTCGTAGATGCTTTAGACGAGTGAAAGTCTCATTCTGGACATGCGAAATACGGTTCCGGTCCAAAAACAACTCACGGAGGTTCTCCAAACCTTCGAATTCGTATCCCAACAGCTCCACGATTCTGTTTGCACTGAGATAAAGTTCCTCGAGTTGCCTTAATCCGTTAAACGTTTTGTTTTGAATCGTTTCGACGTTTGAATTGTTAAGAAAAAGGACTTTCAATCTTTTACGACCGATGAACGCGTGGCTGCTCAATATTGGCAGGTTGTTTCCATCCAAAAATAATTGGGTAGCGTCCATGGGAATTCTTTGCGGTAGCTGCGAAACGTGACCGCTGACCGAACAATCGACGACATTTGCTGACCAGGATTGATCGTGGTAGCAGGTGCAATTGGTGGGACAGGTCATTTCACAGTCGCAGGCGTCAAAGTCGCAACAATGACACAAGGCAAAACAATGAGTTTCGTACGTACACAGGAACTGATAAGGAGCGGCTTCCACTAAAGGAATATAAGATCGTCCGCGGTTGTACAGCAGTTGGCAGTAGATGCTCTCCAAGTCGACAAGTTTCGGTTGAGTTCTAGCTCGGTTTCCTAAGTTGGCCTTTTGCAACCATTCCATGGTACAGTCACACTGATAAGGGTTGCCGCCGATGTAGAATTCAGGCAATGATTTGTCGGAAGGAACGGTCGAAATACGCAACGAATTCGGATCGAGATGCGTTATTTTATTTCCGAAAAGGTCGACTCTTGTTAGGTTTGGTTTTTTGAAAAACGTGTAAGATTGTACTTTGGTTATGAGATTGTCGTTCAGAAATAGCACTTCGACACTGTTCGGGATCGCACTGCCTGTTATTTCCGTCAGTTTATTTGCACTTGCGTCAAAGGTACTTAACGATAGTGTGGATTCTATTTCGAAGTAGTTTCCTAGCTCTGTTATTTGATTGGCATGGATGTCGAGCCATTGCAGACCTGTTGGTATTAATGCGTAATCGAACCATCGGAGTTCGTTGTCGGATATGTTGAGCCATATTAAGTTCGGTAACTTGGTGAACAGACCTTCGATGTCAGTTAAATAGTTTCCATCTAGTCTTATTGCCTGTAGATTGATGTTTTCGTCGAAGGCACCCGACGAGATTTTCTGGATTTTATTCCGTGATAAATTTAAAATTTTTAATGCCGTCATTTTACTGAACACGCCCTTCGAAATGTTTCCGATGTAATTTTCGGTCAGCCGTAGCCCGAAAAGCTGTTTCATTTCCATGAAAGTGTCGTTAGTTATTTTGTCGATGTGATTTTCTCCCAAATCGAGCGTCCGTAGTAACGGCACATTTTTGATCACCTCGGGCACTGCGTACAGTTTGTTACCGTTCAGGTGCAAGTCATGTAAACTTGAACAATTTTTTAGCGCTTCGGGATGGATTTTCGATATACGATTATTGTCTATTGACAGTAACGATAAGACGAAAAGGCCATTAAACGTATCGCCTTCGATCATCGTTAAACGATTGTTCGATATAATTAGCGTATGTAAATTGTACAATGCTGAGAACGTGTTTTCCGGTATCCCTTCTATGAAGTTGTCGTTCAGTCTTAATATTTGTAAACTGTACAGGTCTCGGAACACTGATTGTTCTAATTTTGTTATACGATTGTGCGATATGTCAAGGACCACCAAGCGCACCAAGCCTGTAAATGTTGCTGCATTTATCCAGTCGGCGGTAAGTTCGTTGCGCGAAAGATCAAGGACGAGTAGCTGTTGCAATTCGCTAAAAAGTCCCGGTGCCAACACGTTGATGGAATTGTTTTGGAGATATAGCTCTTTTATGTCTCTCGTGTCGGAGAACAGTTCAGGTGGTAAACTAACTAGTCTGTTGTCCGACAACTTTATAATATACAATCCGACCAAGCCTTCAAACGCCCTGTCGGCAAGATGGACGAGACCGTTCCCTTGGAGGTACAACTTTTGGAGGCGCGTAAGCCCTGACAGTTGATTTGCTGATAACCTGTCGATATTGTTTCTTGATAAGTCGAGTATTCGGAGGTTACCGCCGCAACGTTCCGATGGATTATAACCGAACTTGAAGGGGGTTAGGTCACGTAATCTGTTGTGGGTAAGGTTTAGCACTTCCAAAGAGTATAGAGGACATAGGGCCGCTTCTGGTAGCGACCACATGTTATTTTCGCCTAGATCTAGCCTTTCGAGCAGTCGAAGTTCCTCGGTAAAGACACCAGGTGATATTTCCAGCGACATTGCCGACCAGTCGGTGTTGTGGGTCCGTATCGTGAGATTTCTCAGCTGCGTCAGGCCGCGGAAGGCACCGTCGGACAAGTTTCCAATTTTGCAGTACTCGATGGAAAGCTCTTTGAGTTCAACCAACGGTCGAAAGCTGCCTGCGTTGAGAGAGCTTTGGAAGAAGAGCGCGTCGCTGCATTCCAGACGCAGTCGCACGGTATGCTGCGGCTGGATCACGCTGAAATTGGTGTTTTCGAGTTCGGAGTTGATGGTGCGAAGTCGGCACACCAAGGCGACGTCTTCATCGTTGGCACCGTTGTCCCCTTCGACTACCCATTTGCATTCGTCGGGCGCCTGGTACCGGAGCGCCTTGCTTAGGGACGCGGACAGCACCCCGAACACGGCTCCGATAAGGACCGCGCACACGGCAGTCGACGACGATCCCATCGGAACTGTTCTCTACTGCACGAACATGGTGGTCGTAGCATGTGGTAGTCACTTTATGGTGCACTTTATCGACTGTTGTTGTTATTGTCCGTTGGGCATCATTGAGTGCGATGCCGCGTATTGTTCGCATGCCCGCATGTATACGTACGTTCGAGTTGTTCAGTGGCTGCTGCTTGACTGCTGTGGCTCTTGCACAAGGCCACGAACCCTTACTGTCGCTGCACTCCGCGGCCCCCCTTCTATCCATTCCTTTACTCCGGTTGCTGCTGCTGATGGTCGTGGAGACCGAAGAATAACCGGAGTGAACAGAAAAGAGAGGAGAGAATCGACTACTACGTGGACAACGACGGCAACGGCAGTCGCAGTCGTTGCCGCTCGTTCTGTTTGTTGGTCGCAAAAAACTGTTAACTCTTCGTCCGACTGCTGCATCGCACCGAACTTTTTACCACACTTCGTCGAGATGTGTCGAGTTTTCCGTCCGAATTCGCTCGAGAAAATCGCGCCTTCTTTGGCCGCTCCAAATTTTATTCTTGCCTTTTTTTGTTTTTTCTATTCCATCTTTCGTAATTGGCTTCTGTTTGAAATTCAACCGGCGTTGAAACGTTATCTTCATTTTTATTTTGTCCACATACAAAAAATACAAAAGGAAAAAATAAATAGTGTATTGAAGAGATTTTCTATAAAATATATTACTGATTTATTGTCATATTTGTTAAAAATCACTAAATAAACATTGATACCTCCAATACCTGTAGTTGCTATTACTGGAACCGATAAAATATTCCATTGGTTTCGGCCCATTCCTTGTAAACCTTGCTCGGAATGGGAAACTTCAATTAGAGACCAAGCGAGAAACCTCTGCTTCGGTTTAAGTACGATTCCCGATGTATTAGTTGGTGGTTGTGTACCTATTATAAAAGCGACTTTTAATGTGACGGAAATTTGTTTTAAAACTGTGTAGTTTACGTTAAATTTACTTAAATTATTGGCGCGGATATTACGGTTCTAATATTCATTAAATAAATTCATCCAATTAATTTTTTTAGCCCGATACTCGAAACTATATTTCTTTAATGCTGTCAATTTATGTTTTAAGTGTCTTAGGTATATGTTCGGTTATACGCAATTGTAATTTTTCTTTTGAAGACAACATTAATCGAAAAACAACTCGATTACCATATAAATTGGATTCCTTAGTCGTTAGCCAAAACTATTAATTATTTCAAATATTGGTATCTATCTTACAGAATAATTATGCAAAAATTGCTTCAAAGTATGGCTTTTTGATCGGAACTTTGAACTAAACGTATCACAGTTTTGTTCACAATTCACTTTTAAAAAATTTTTAGAAATTCCAACAATAGTTCTTAAAAACAACTTTTCATCAATTCCTTAAAAGAACATTTTATGAAAAATAATATAGTCTAATTCTACAGGTAGTCGTTTTGTTCACCCCCATCTAAGCATTGCCATTTTTGTACAATCCTTGACGTATACTTCCGTGCAGCTCGATCAGTTAGTGACGTTAATGACAGTCTGAGAACATTCCTTATATTTATTTTTTATTTCTATACGAACCGGATATCTGACATTAATAAGCCTGTTCGCAAATTATCTACTAGAACTATTGGTCGATATTAATTGATAGCATTAGGTACATATTTCTTCCTGTAGTCGTGATGAGGTTTGGCGTGGTTAGTTGGAAATATAGACTAGCAAACCGTTAGGAAACGTCTGACAGCATATCGAACTTTAATGATTTTACAGTGCTTCATATATTGTACCTGTACAGTACGTAATCCTCTATCAAGAGGAATTATTTGTAAATAAAAAGGACGATCTACGTATTACACACGATCAATAATTTCGAGTTTGAAGCAGCTGCAAGGATTTAAGGTTTCGTTTAGGTATTGTAATAGTCGAAGACGACAATCAAAATGCCTTAATTAACAATTCGTTTGATTATTTGAAGATGACGACTAATGAATACTAAAAGGTAATCAGTTAATAAATTTTGAACAGGATTCTTACACATTGTGACATTGAATAATTAGGGGAGAGGGTTTTGTGGAATGTGTTCGTAGAAACCTTTAATTTCTAATTTTGATGGAGATTTTTGGTGGTGGATTGGTGGATCTTCGCGAAGTTTGCGTTTAAGATATTTCTTGTAATTTAGAAAGCAAATGTCGCACTTAACGTAACTCTGTGAATTATGAATGTCCTTTGCGTTTTTGGTTGTATAAAAAGTGCAAGAAATGATGAGTGTTAGTGAAACCTTTTGGCTACAGCTTGTTCCTGTTGATTTATTATAACACGTTGTCATTTTTTTTGCAATTTGGAGTGTTTATGTTGAGAAAACGACCTGAAACGAAAGCGAATCGTCTCGTAGATCATATCTTTTCTTTATGAGATTATGGATCACTGTGTGGCCTCTCTTACCTTAGAATAAGAGTCATTAAGAAAATTGTTAGCGATAGCAGCTCTACTTACGTAGCATATTTGATGGCTAAACGAAGATGAAGAACAAGAATAAGAAGAAGACGAAGAAAACATGTGACAACAGGTCGGCGCACGAGATGAAAGATGACTTCCTCGTTACGTTCGTAGTCACATCAGAGCCTCGTAGCCTGAAATATGACCGCCCATTACGGGTATCTTAACGACGAAACATTCGTTCGTTTACTTTTATTTACGATGGGGATGTTTTAATATTCTGCCGAGAGATTGGATTTTCGTGTAGCCGGGATTCCTCGTGCTCGTTATTAATTGGCCGATGTACCCGCGTATACACACACGGAATGTTTTACTGCGAACGGCAGGTCCTGGCTGAATGGGTGTCTTGTCGCGTTCGCGCGCGCGCGATCGTAACTACGATCGACGGACGTACGCGAACGCGCCAAAATTAAGTGTCTTTCCACACCGAACCGAAAGAAGAACAGTCCCGGGAATTATTTATGCATGGCCGTTCCACGTTACCAACAGTATCACACCAGGTATTAATTTTGTACGACGCCGTCATCGCTTCAGCGCGCCTGATGCATGGTATCGCGTTGCCCGGGCTGTTTCTCTCACGAATCCGACGTTCAAGTCAATCGAATAACAAGAGGTTGCGAGAAGATCGACGTTTTGTTGTCGATTTTTAGGATAGGAGACGAAGTGGCCGATTTTTGGTATCTGGGAAGTCAGATAAGGAGTAGTAGGGATATAAAGTAGAGGATAGCGCAGGGTGGAGTCGCCTTCAATAAAAAGAAGTCACTTTTATGCTCGCGAACGGTTAATTTAGAAATTCGAAAAAGGTTGTTAAAGGTGTATGTTTGGAGCACGGCGTTGTACGGGTGCGAAACATGGACAGTGGGAGCGGCGGAAAAGAAAAGGTTAGAAGCGTTCGAAATGTGGTGTTATAGGCGGATGATGA